AGTCTCAAACCCAGGTTGGCATGGGCCTGTTCCTTCTGTGAGATGTAGGAGATCTGTTTCCACCCCTTTTCCAGTTTCTAGAGGTGCCTGCATGCGTGGCTCTTAGCCCCACATCACTGTGTTCTGTGCTGCCCTTGTCACTGCATCCCTGGCCTGTCTCCTGCTTCCCTCTTACAAGGACATTTGTGATGACATTGGGACCCTGAATATTTCAGTATAATTAACCTCTTATCTCAAGATCCTTAATCCAATTGCAAAGTTCCTTTTTCCATATTAGGTGACATATTTACAGACTGCCAGGACATGGACATCTTTGAGGGGAACCATCACTCACAGGTGATGCAATGCTCTGATTGGCTAGTCCAGAGTCACATGCCTGGCCCTGGAGCACCACCCATGTGGAAGTGGAGGAGGGGGGTTCCCCAGGGGGAGATGTGGTCCCTTAACCAGACCTGTAGGGATGGGATACTACAAGGCCTATGACAGCCAACGTCAGCAGCAGGAAACAGGGAAAACATGGGAGAGCCCTTGAACAATTTTGTTTCTGTTGGGGATCAGTGGATTTCTTTTAGGTCTTGAGTGCATGTAGTTGGCAGAACTGAAGTTGAGAGTTCACTGTGAATTTGTTCATGTCACTGGGAACTTTTATTGTCATTTGTGTCATTTTTAAAGCAAGGGCTTTGGAGCTTGGGAACTCCTCCACAGGTATCTTAGAATGAACCATCCGGCGACTAGGGAAGCACAGCTAAGATTTGGATGATGTGGACAAGCACTTAATTATCTTGTTTCCAAGCAAGTTTAGAGCTTCTGCTGGTCAGGGTGGGTGGGAGGAAGAGATTCTGGGATAATAGAAAAACTATGTAATGTTTTATGTTACTGCCTCTTAATCCCTTAAATTTAAGGGAAAACAATCTTCAAAAGAGCGATAAAGTACACTGAGGGGCACCTCGAGGGAATGCTTAGCTGAAATAAATTGCAATATTCTTAATGGCTGGGTTCAGAGTCAAAATACAAGTGAGAGGTACTGTCTAAGAGTAACAGTCGCCCATCTGCTGACTTGAGAAAGTTAATAAAAATAAACACAACGACCAAACTGAGAGGAGGCTCAGAAGTATCCTGATAGATGGCTCCTCTTGGGGCATGTTTGATGGCAGAAGCAGCAAAGGAAGACCAAGGAATTTGGCGGACCTCAGGGGGAGAGAAGCCTGTTTATTAGCATCCTCTGCAGAAGAGACACGTGGTCATCGTTCCACTGTTTGACCTTTCATCAGAGATTATGGGAATAAGGAAACTCAACAGATGGAGAGGCAGCAACTCATCAATGACATGCAGAAGAAAACTGGAACAAACAGAAGTGAGGGCATGCGTTCAAGAGGCAGTACTGCCTAATGGTTATGAACTCTGTCCCTGGAATAAGACAGAGTGGAATTTAAACCTGGACTCTGTCACTTAATACCTGAATGATGGAGGTCAGTCGTTTAAACCTTTTCAGTCAAACAATGATTAAAACCCTCACCAACAGCTTGCCATTGAGTTGTGTGAGTTGTATGTTTCTTTTGCACACTGCTTAGCCTGGAGAATAGGAGAACTGGAGCCAGGATTTTACCAGTTGAAAGCAACAGAATTCTAAATAAGCTTAAACAAAAAGAAATTAGGAGTGACAATAAATAAATCACGGAGAGTGTGAACTTCAGGCCCTGATAGATCCAAAGTCTGAAATGATGCATCCGGACTCCAACCAGTCTCCCCATCTCTTGACCCTATTTCCCTCTGTCTTAGATTCATTCTCAGGCAGGGTATTAGCTCATGAAAGTTGGCTATCAGTAACTGCAGGCATGCTTCTTTCCTTCTTGGCAATCCCAATGAATAGAACTTCTTTTTTAAGTTGTTCCAGCTAAAGTCTCAAGTCTGAGGGTTTTTTTTTTTTCATCTAACCTGATCACATGCCCAACACTGAACCCATCGCTGAAGCCAGGCAGAGAGAATCTATCTCCTGACTTGAAGTCCCAGACCCAGGAGTTATTGAGGTTCCCCTGAACCACATGAAGAAAGGGTGGCTGGGTTCACAAAGAAGGCCCAAAGGATGTAACGTGAAGGCAGGGAGTAGATGCAGGGTGGGCAAAGGTAATGCACAGTGACCATGGTGGGCAAGGTGAAGGCTATGGATCAAATGAGTGAAGCAGTAAGTGGGTAAAGCGCAGTCCACCTCATGGAAGAGCGAGCAGCCCCTCAAGCAGAACAAACCACAAGAGTCCAAGTCTTCTACGTCCCAAGGCAGAGCCAGCTACGTGAAGAGGAATGAATGTCCTATGGTCTCTTCAGATCACCAGAAATCGATGGCTGATTTGAGTATTTGAAGTTTTTGTGTACCTCCAACTTGCCTGGATACACTGGATGTGCTTCATTAATTTCCACAGATTCTGAGAGTTGTTTTCAAGAATCTTCCCAGTGTCCATTCTTGGGTGGTGACCGCTGTCGTCTGCCTTAGGGACATTGTAATCAAAATGGTCCCCTCCCTCTACTCCTCCTTCCCTTCTTCCTTTCCCTGTTCTTGCCTGGTTTAATGCTTATCTTGCTCCAAACCCCAGTTTTCCAGACTTCAGTCATGGGCAAACTGGCTTGGTGATTTTGACAAACTTCCAAACCAATCTATGATGAATTACTTCATATTTTTAATTCAGGTTGCTTGTTCTTCACCTCAGTCAATTAATTTAGAAAGGAATTGTCCATCACTGCCACTTGAGGAAAGCCATCAATAAAAGATAAATATATGACTGCATGCAGGGAGAGTAATGTTGCAAATCCCCCTCCCAGGCCTCCCTGGGCTCAGCCTGCAGCTGGGTACACAGAAGATGGTGTTTGTTGGAGACACATCCAACATTCTCCTGGGCACAGTGGAAGGACTGAAGGGAGTAAGAAAGGGAAGACCTTCCTTAACTGTGAGTCAATTGTGGATGCCACCATGGGGCACTTCCTGTAATCTCGGGGCCCAGGTCACTTTTAGGACCAGTTCAGGTGCTGCGTCTTCCCTGCTCTCAGCTCAGTGCAGTGTCTTCTGGTCTTAACACCTGGTTCTCTTTGTTCCCCGGTCCTAACCATCCCTATGGCAGCTAAGAATGGAGACCAAAGGCAGAGGCCACACCAGCCTGACATTAGGCCCCCATCCACAGGTGCTGATGGGCTTGGCCAGGATCCACAGTCCCTGTGCCAGTGTAGACAAGTGGCCATCAGCTCCTACCATTGATCTGAATGAGCTTGGAAATTGCCGTTCTCATCTTTGCTGCTCATTGGTGTCTTTTCTCTTTGTCCAGCCATCCCACAAGTCAAGAGTTCTTTATTTAGTAGATGGAAAGAGATAGTAACTGGTATGATCATCTGTTGAATTCCTAACTCCAGGATGAAAGTGTTAGGAGGTAGCTTTGGGAGGTGAGTAGATCACAAGGGTGGGGCCCGCCCGAATAAGATTAGTGCCTTAATGAAAGAGACCCCAGACAAAGCCTTGTCCCTGTCACCATGTGAGAACACAGAGAGAGCACTATCCAAGAACCAGAAAGTGAGCCCCACTGGACACCAAACCTGCCAGCACCTTGAACTTGAACTTCCAAAACTCCAAAGCTGTGAGAAATAAATTTCTCTTGTGTATGAGCCACCCAGTTTATGATATTTTGCTGCAGTAGCCCAAACAATTGCATCATCAGTTGGAATTCTTGAAGGCTGGGAGCTTGCTCCCAGCTGACATTGGGTTCAGTTTCTCTTCAGGTAGATTTCTCTAGGTGATCTGTCTGTGATGGGCTTCCTCCTGGCATGGTGACTAGGTTGAGAGGACAGGTGTAAGTAAGCAAGCTGGATACAAAGTGAAGTGACTTCTGACTCATCTCACAAACTGCTCCTGTCACTTCTGCTGCAGTCTAGTTTTCAAAAGCCAGTCATCGGGGTTAGTAGGGGACAGGGGTGATCTTGAACCTCAAGAGAGAAGGGTCAAAAGCCTGGAAGATGTTTTAAATCTACCATAAGTGCCCTAAGAAATGGAGGAGCTCCAGATTTCCAACGTGTAGATCTGAGATGGAGGTCAGGAGGGCTCCCATACTTGAGAAGCAGAAGGTTAGGAGGGAAGGAAGGAGCTTCCTTGGGGTCATTTCTGCTGGTGGACAGTGGTTGAATGAATGAGTTTGGAACCTGCCATTGGCTGCAGCCACCCCACCTGTGCATAACTGTGAAGAAGTGGGGCTCTCTAGGACCACTAACTTACCCGGAATCATAGTGACATTGCTCTGGACCACTGCCCCACCTATCACTCTGAATTCCTTCCAGAGGGAGCCAGCAGCAGTGTCCATGAGTCACGAGTGTAAAGTACACCCAGCACCTTGGCAAACAGGCCCTTGTGCAAGGGTAAGGTGACATTAGGTGAACATTGAGAACTGTTTCTTTCCTTTCCACTCCGAGATAAAAGACAGCAGTCCTTATGCGCCATCCTGTATCCTCTTACTGCTTTGGGGTGGGAGCTGCTCCTGGGTCTGGAGGTCCGGGGCGACAAGTCGGCGGGGGGGTGGGGGGGCGGAGTGTGAGTGCGCCTGTGAATGCACTTGTGTGTGCACGGAGCGTGGCCTTCGCAGCTGTCCCGGCCCCCACCCTGCCGCACCCCACCCACCCGGCTGCGCGCCGCCCCCGGCCCCGCTGTCCTGGGTGCGCCTGGGGCCACCGCGCTCCTGACGGATCCCCCCTACCCTACCCCCGCCTGGGAGGCGACCCCCTGTGCGCCCCGGGTTCAAAGGCCCCGCGCGGCAGCTCCAGCCCCTCCGGGGGGCGGGGAGGCGAAGGGGGTGGTGCAGGAGCCTGAAAAGCCCGAGCCACAGTCCGCCAGCCCTGCGCAGGGATGGGCAGCGCGCTCTGAAAGTTCGTGACCGCCGCAGCCAACTCTTGGCCAGAACCGGGACACAGCCAGTGCGCGGCCCAACTCGAAAGCTGTTGCCTGGCCCCAGTGCCCTTTCGCGGCCGTCCTCTGGGCCGGGGCCTCCCGCTCCTGATTGGGGTTCATGGAGCCGGGGCTGTGGCTCCTTTTCGGGCTCACAGTGACCTCCGCGGCAGGTAAGCAGGCTCAGGCGGGGTGGCGCGCCTCTTCTGGAGCAAGCGATCGCACACAAAAGGAGCCCGGGCTGGGGTCTGTGTGCAGGGAGCTAATTCTTGCTTGGACTCTGCACCCCTGGAAGTTCCTGGGGGCGGGCTGGGGGTGCACAAGAGGAACGCAAAGACAGCCCCTCCACACACACATATGGGCTGCGGGGGTTGCAGCCCAGACAACTTTCATGAAGTTGGGAACTTTTCCGAAAGATTGCAAACTACTAAAAACTGTACAAAATGATTGCAAAGTTTTCAGAAAGCGCAAGATGCGTGCAAGGTTTCAACCAGTGCAAACAGCTTTCAGACTTTGCAGAGTGAAAGTAGCTTGCAAGCTTTTCGCAAAGTATGCACATAACTTGTAAACTTTTTAGACACTGTGCATAAAGCTTTGCAAACTTTTTAGAACGTTTGACCTCGTTGGGAGACTTAAGAGAAAGTGCAACTAGCTTGCAAACTTTGCAGGAGTTTGTTTTTTCCTTCTCAGGCTTGGGGGGAGGTGGGTTGAGGCTTCTGTACCTGCAGCTCAGAAGCCCCTCAATCTGCCTCTTACAGGATTTGTGCCTTGCTCCCAGCCTGGGGGCTCTGGCAGAACCAGTGTGCCCCGGCACCCCCTGGAGCCAGATCTGAGGGGGATTGTGAAGAGACTGTGGCTGGCCCAGGTGAGGGGACTGTGACCCCCCCAACAGCAGTGCAGAGTCCACATCCGGAAAGTGCTGGGGAGCAGGCAGCCAAGGCGGGGCCTGCACTGCACCGTGCCCGGCGCTGCACGTGCTTCACCTACAAGGACAAGGAGTGTGTCTACTATTGCCACCTGGACATCATCTGGATCAACACTCCTGAGTGAGTCGGCTTTGGGGGAGGGGGAGCGTGGTCCTGGGCCAGGCCTACGCCTTCACGTCTTCACGTCCTCACACTCCCACCCAAACGTGCCCTGGCCCAGTGTTCAGCTCCCGCAGGATCTCCCCTGTAGACAGCTCAGGTCCTGTCTGCAGGTCACAGGGTAACCCATCTCCCCCCTGAGGACCTGGCCTAGGAGAAACTCAATCTCCGGTTTGGGATCGGGTGGGAAGGGGCCTCTCTCAGTGAAATGAACTGGCCAGGGGGATTGGATACCCGAGAAGTCTCTCTCCCAGCCTTTTTTCTGAGCCAGAGGAAGTTTATCTCCAGCCCCAGGGGCTAAGAGGGCTCCTCCTGCTCGTCCCACTGGAACCCACCGAGGTTCCAAGGAGTCTAAAATTCCTTGACAGCAAGCAGCCTTCTCCCTGGGAAGGAAGAGGGTGGGTTTGGCAGGAGGCTGAGCGCACCTGTCCAGGCCAGTGAAATGGACTCCTCCTCCCCTATCTTCCCTGATGGCTAGGCATCACCGACTGACGTCCATTGCTGTGGCCACAGAGGCTCTTGCCCTGAGTCTCTAAGAACTCTTACCCAGCATCTGCTGGCACTGTGCGGATGTTGTCTTGGGACACCTGCAGTGAGGTACACCCTCTGCTGAGGCATGGGAGGAGTGGAAAGACTAGCTGGCATGGGTGAGGGGACTCTCCACTCCCACTCAGCCATGGGGAGCCCTTGCTGAGGGATCCTTCCTGCAAACAGTGTAGAGGGCTTGACCTTGCTCTGGTTGCTACATCCTAAGCTTGGTTCTCCAAATCCATAGAACCTGGGACTTGGACCAGATGCTGCTGAAGTCTATTCCCTGGGTGTTTAGGGGATCTCTAGGGACTCCTGCATGTTCCCTACTAGGGATTCCTGGCTGGGAACTTGGAGATGGCCATGAATGCAAATTTTTAGTATGGAAACTCAACTTTGCCACTGTGTTTGGAGCCATCTTCCTGTCCCTAATGGTGTGTGTTACCATCAAGCCCACTAATCTGAGCGTGGAGGCTTTGAGGGGGGCTCTTTCCTACCTGGACACCTCAAGAATGAAGTGCAAGGGAGGGTAGTCCTGAGGAGTCCAATGTTTTTTGAACCAGGTGACAAGACCCTAACCACAACCAGATAGGTCCTTAAATCACCCTGCGATGCCAGAGTGCCTGACACGGTGGCTTCCCTGGTGAGCCACCTGGATGCTCACATAGGCCCAGAGCCCAGATGGACCCTGGCTGGATCTGTTTAATGCATTGCTATGGCAGTCATGAAGTACTTAATCCCTTTTGAACCAAGGATGGCTGCACATTTGCCTTTTATCCTGGCTCTCACAATCTCACTGATCTACCAGTGTGATGGGCTTGTCTGGCTGTGTCTGATGGGGTTCCTGAACCCACTGTCAGCCCACAATAAGGAGATGGATGATAAGAATGATGAGTTTGGGGCGGTCATTGATCTTCTGCTGTCAGACAGTATCAGGGTCATCTTTTCTTACAGCCTCCATCACCCTGACACTTGCCTTTCCTAATCTTCTCTTTCTACCATGATCCCACCAAATTAGCTCCGTCGAATGGAGAGTATTGGGCAGTCAATGGCAGGACTGAGATCTGATCTTGGCTAGAATCCCAAGCTATGACTCTATAAGGAGAAAGAAGAAAGTCAACCAAGAGATAGGGGGCTGCCGAGTGGGGTGGGTAGTTGGAGACCACTTCAGTTTTCTCTCTACCTGTCCTCTAAGTCCCCAGATACTGGCTGGAGAGGAAGTGGTTATTTGGGACACCTTTGAGACTCTACAAATACCCAGAGATATTTGAAATTCTGCCTCAGAAGTTTGAATTTTGATTTGCCTTGTTGACCCCCAAATAAAGCCATAGATCTTTGACTTTTCCTGGGACAGCCAACTCAACAACTTTCCCCCAAAGTTTGATTTACCTCTGCCCCCCACCCTGTTTTGTTCTAAACGGAGGCAAAGAAGGGTGAATCCAGTGTTTGGGTGTCTTTTGAGCCACTTGGGAAATAAAAACAACCGTTGCCAGGCTTGAGCACTTAGAAATTAGACAAACAAAATAAATGCTGTAAGATTTTTCCTGCGTGGCCCTCTTCCCCCTTCCCTCCATCCATCCCTGCTGAATGCCTTCTCTCCCTTGCTCTCTCTCTTGCTCTCTCTTTCCCTTATATAGGGATATATATAATGATATTTGCTATCATTAAAATATCTGGGACAAGATCACAATTTGAGAAAATGGGCTCTAGTAGCAGAGACCATGGGTGTTGGGTGAAACGGAAGTCTGAAATTTTACCGAGGGTGTGCATGGTGGAGTCTTTTCCATTGGCGCTAGCCCCCCTTGGTCTCAGCCCTGCCTCTCACGTCCTCCTCCTCCTTCTGGTCTTACTCTCGGAACTTCTGTGCCAGAGTGTGGTCTGCTCCTTGTCCCTTCCGCTGGCTGCTTGGGAACCTGGAGGAGCCTCAGTGACCGTGCCTAAAGCAAGAGTCTTGAACTTCGGGTGTCTCTGCCTTTTGTGCCATTCTTCCTCCTGCCCATGTGGTTGCCTGGATCATGATCATGATCCAGCTTTGTCTTCGGACGACATTTGCACGGACCTTCAGAGGACATGCTGAGAGGAGGGATGTTGCAGGAGTAATGCGAGGAGTCACTGTTGAAACCCATCCCGCATTCTTCTGAAAAGATGACTGTGTAGGTCAGGCTCCCCCAGGCTTCAGAAAGAAGATCTGAGGCACCTGCTCTTCCTGTTTGCTTCCCCAGCCTGAGCGTGGTCAGCCTTTTCTGGCAGTACCCAGTACGTAGTCATTTCTCCAATGTTGCCGGCTGACTTTCTGTGAAGGTCTACACCTGGTTTTTCTTTGCCTCTTCACCGTTGCTGTGGCTCTGCTTGCAGAGTTCCCCCACCCGTCAGGTCTCTTCATGCGGAGTGTGTGTGGTCCTCTTCAGAGAGCCTACATCTGGCTGCAGACCTCAGTGGAAATGTGCATTTTTGGGGGTACATTACCCCAACTTCTGTCATATTTTCCAAAAGGCCCCTGGACCCAAAGAAGAAGCAAATTTGCCCCTGGGCAACTGCACTGAGAGTCTGAGAGTCTGAGATCACATCCTCAGGAAAAAAAAAAAGCTTTTTCCACCCATGTGTCTCAACTCCCAGACAATCCTACCAACTGCCAACAGTGACAAAACAAAATCCAAACTAGGGAAAACACAATCCACCTTATTGTCATGGAAAATTTGCAAAGAATAAGTTAAGAGGAGACACAGTGAACAGGAAGACCATGTGCTTACGCACTTGAGTGCTTGGTGTTGTCCTCTGTAAGTGTCCTTTAAAAACTCAAGTGTCTACCAGGTTGTTGGGATTGCGTTAGTCAGGGTTCTCTAGAGAGATACAACCACTAGGACGTGTTAATGTGAACATACGGAGAAATTTGCAGGCGAGATGCTGGGGTTGGAAATTCCAGCTGGAGCTGTTGGCACAGCCTTGGGTTCAACGGCAGCCTGGAGGCAATGTTTCTTCTCAGGGTATCTCAGTCTTTGCTCTTAAGGCCTTCGACTGATTGGGTGAGGCCCATCAACAATGTGGAGGGTAATCTGCTTTGCTAAAAGTGAACTGACTTAAATGATAATGACATCTAAAAAAAAGAGTTTCACAGAAACATCTGGACTGGTGTTTGCTTAAACAACTGGACACCATGGTCTACCCAAGTTGATGGGTAGAATTAGCTATCAGGGAAACATTAGATCTAACCACGTTCCACAGTGGTCAGCCCCCTGGGCCTGGCAGCACAGTGAAAGCCAGTTCACCAAATAGCAACCGAGCTGCAAGGCACCCAGCAAAGAGCCTCCTGTGTCCCTCCCTGCTCTGTGGTTGATGGACCCTACCATCTGTTAATTCCTCCATGGACATGTAAGGGATACTGTGATGGTGAGCGTGTTTTCCAAACAAAAATCTGAGCCACATGGCTGACAAGTAAGAATGCATTTATGGAAAAGAGCAGGGCAGGAATTTGGAAATGATGACTGGTAGAAAGTCTGGATCTACAATCTTCAGTCGCCCAGGAGACTCCGGGCCCCAGAGCTCTGCCCTTGAGTCCTGGCTATGGCTCTGTGTAGTGAGAGGTGACATCAGCTCTCTGCCTCCCCTGTAAGGTGTGGACTCCAGTCCAGATGTAGGCCCATGACCTGTGGAGTCTCCCTAAGTTCCTGCAGACTAACCATCTCCTAGAGGACGTCCAGCCTGCTGCCCTGGCTGCACAGAGGCATGCCACGTTTACTTAATCCCGCAGGAATGACATTTGTTTTGTGTTCTTTTCCTCCCTCAAGAAGTAAATAGTAAAATAATAATAATAATTAACAAAACAGTTGAACTTGAATTTTTATGTATTCTACCACCAAAAAAAAAGGCAACATCACCACCACTTCTGGCCTTGTCTTCTGTATGCTTCAAGAAAGGCATTTTAGCACATTTCCAAGAAGAGACATTTCAAATCTCAGAATGTCCAGATGATAAGGGTGGATCTGAAGCCCCAGCTTCCTGCATCCTGGAGCCAGCTGGGTGCCCACCATGGGACTGGGGGATGGGGTCCCAATAAAAGTCACCCTGTCCTGTGACCTAGGGAGGAGCATTGCTGGAGATTCAGCTCTTTGAGGCACAAGGAGTCTTTAAGGCCATCGTGGTTTTCAGAAAGTGTCATCAATGGTGTGATCCTGATAACAATGGTGGTGGGGATGACCCATCAATGTGATCCCACATTCCCATCAGCTGGGGCCTGGTGTCTTCTTTGGTTTATAGGAAGTTGAGTCACTTGCCCAGGGTTCCAGAGCCCTCAGTCTGGCAGTCTGGCTCCAGGATCTGCCTTCTCTGCCCCTCTCTCATACCCTTTCCATACATGGATGGTGCTGTGCTCTTAGTGGCTCATCTACATATTCAACTTTTTTTTTATAGAGTGCTGGGTCTGAGTGGCTGGGGCT